TAGCTCATCTGAATCCGGCTGTCCGTGCCGGCATTTGCAAGGACATCGGCCGTTTCATCCGTAGGGCCCTTGCTGGTGAACACAGAGGATCATCTGGCCGAAACCGATTGAATCTGAGCTCCCGCCTGTGGTTGGTGTTCAGGAACTATCGTGGAGAGGTTTCCACTCAGCCTTGCAAGTTGTTCCATCGATTCAGTGAAGCCAAAGCAGAGTGCAGCGGCGAGAGAGGTGATCTAGGTGATTCAATTTTCATTGGACTGCCAGCGTTGAGTGACGCCAGGATTGTAGTTGCAGAGGCCGGGGCAACCTTGCCTTAGTCATGGAAGCAGAAGCTGATTTTGGTGCCGAGGCTGACCTTGACCTCGACCCTGAAGAGCCAATGCGAATGCAAGACCACTACGTAGTTGTTAACGACGTAGTTAATTATTATTTTCAGTCTGGGAAGTTGCCTTTAGCTGCCGGCAGTGGTGTGTGCGAAGTCATCATAATCACAGAGGCCGAAGGCAAACTCCTGGTTGCCCTTCCTGCCGAAGTTTGGAGCAGGCGGGTCAATACTAGATTGCTGGATCAGAGAGGCCTTGCTAGGCCTGTCCTATGCTCAGTGGTAGGATGCCATCCAGAGAGTCGCGATATGCAAGACGAATCAGTGAATTTGCGCGTGTGGATAGGTTTCTTATCCGACGCACTTGCAGCAGCGATCGATTTCGATGTTCCAGATCGTATGGCCTTAGATTATCCGATTCTCAGTTCTCCCTTGCCCGAATTCATCCCGTACAGTCAGAGCTTGGTAGAAGTGATGCAAGAAAGGTTCAGCTTTTTCAGTGCCGAGTCAGGCGGAGGTGCGCCGACAGACTCCAAAGGTCCTGCAGTCCCAAGTGCCGAAGCGAGACTAGGAGCTGTCGAATCCACACTTGCCGACATTCAGAAAAGCTTAGCCGTTTTGCTAGAATCCCCCAAAGCTGCAAGTTTGCCTGGACCAAGCCAGGCACGACCACCTGCCCTTCGCCCTGCAGGCGTTGCTCCCAAAAGATCTGCGGATCGAGTGAAGATCCTAGAACCGTCAGCAAAGCTATCAGGTTTGGATGGATCCGTGGTTCAAGCAGCTTTGGCTGCTGGGGTTCCAGAAGAGCATTTGCGCGAGATGTCAGAGTTTCTCAGAAGGAATCCAAACCGCATGGGCGACATCCCAACGAACCGTGGCAAGGCGAAAGAATTGGACGATCTGTCCGACTCAGAAGACGAGGAAGCCGAAGTGGAGGAATCCTTGAACGCCCAGATGCAGCCAGGGTCCCCAGGAGATGGTGGTGTAGCAAAAGCTATCGTAAAGCTCACGAAAGTTTGCTCTGCCCTTGCCGAGAACAGATCGAGCAAAAAGAGTCTGGAAGGGCTTTTAGACTCCGGAAGTGCAAGCAGCGACGGGTCTGGGTTGGGAAGCTCACGACGCAATGCAGCCGCCTTGAGACTGTTGAAGGACAGCCTCGTGAAGGACCCGGAGCTCATCTACAAGTCCATAGAGAGCAACATGGCTTCGGACTTTCTGAGTCGTCCAGCTGCTCCAGGAACCCCTCTAGCGGGCGCGACCGCGAGAGGATGGCTGGAATCAAGGAGCCGCCTGATGAACTACACGTCTCATGTGAGATGGACGTGGGCAGTTGCAGGGATTTGGGATTCATTGATGAGAGGAGAAGTTGCTCAGGCCAGAGCCAGAGCGGCTCTGTTAGTCGCAGCAGCGGACCAGGCGTCAATCGACCAAGGGTCCTGGCTACTGAGCAATGTCATGATGTTAGAACCAGCAGCTCCCTTCAGTTCCTTTGCAGGCCATCATCCGCCAGGGCCACAAGACCTTCAGCACACAGCCTTGATCGACAGCCGCTGGATCGAACTGTTTCTGGGCCATGTCAAAGAGATGGACAGTTACCAAGAAGCCAAGAAACGCCTGAGCAGAGACACCAAGCGAGAGCAGCCAGACCCTCGTCCTGCAGCAAAGGAGAAAGCCAAAGCCAAAGCGAAGGGAGGAGCAAAAGGGGGAAAAGGCGGGGGAAAGAAGGAAGATACAGTGGAAGCCGATGCCGGGAATTAGCCCGTACAGTAGGAACATCTTGCATGCCAAAAATGCCCAAAAACAAAAAATGCCCGATCAATGTTATCTAGGCTCAGAAAAATTTAAATATAAAAATTTGCCGTGCCATAATAGGTTAGGCTCCAAAAACTTGAAATATAAAAATTTGTCTGGTTCACAAGGTACAGACTCCAAAAAATTCGCCTTGGCCGGAGGCGAACAAAAAGCAGAAAAAATAGGTGCAGCCAACCGTACAGATGGTGATGCCCCATCCCGGCCTGCAATCCGAGTGCCAGGAGCCGCAGCTGGGACTTACGAAGGTCGAAGTATCTTTAACAGCATGATGAGAAATTTGCTTAAGTCTCAATGCGGTTTTGGTAGGTTTGCACGTTCCTCCATAGGCCTTGCCGAGCCAAGTGTTGCTCTTACAGAACCTTCTTCCAAAGGTTTCCCGCTTCCTTTGCCGTATCCTGAAGTTTTCCGGAAGGGTTGGAAGGCATCTGCAGAAGAAGTGTCTAGGAAAAAGATGATGAACTGTTGCATTGTTTGCCTGAACTATCTTCACCTAGGACGCCCTTCTAACTGTCCGGCGAATTTGAAAGCTGGAAACCGACTGAGCAAAAGCCAGTGGAGCATTGTTCGTCGTTTGGAAGTGTTTTTGGATGACTGGATTTCCTGTGAGAAAGTCGGGCCTAGTGCTATGGGGCGCACAGCGCCAAAAGTCGAGAGCCTTGAGGAGATGCTAGAGAAACTCAGCCAGGTTGCCAGAGAACTGCCTAAGCTAGGGGTTGAAGCCTATTTCCCAACAACCTACGTGAGCCCTAAGCTAGGTAGCAGCAAGAGTGATGCGGGCTTGGTAGTCGGCCAGTTAAACCATGCCCCTTTCAGCACTTTCAAGCCTGTGGATCCTGCGCGATTAAAGTTCACAGGTCGGCCTGAATTCGATCCAGTTCCCTTTCTCGATCCGATTTCAGCCGAAGTGTACAATAGCCCCTTGCAATGCAGCCTCGATCCAGGCGATTTTGTTGGATCCGTGCCATTTGTCCAGGTGCACTGCAGCCCAGAGAAAAAGCTGGAACTGTTTAACCTCCTTGACCACAGCGGCAGATTGGCGCTGCATCCACCTTCTGCAGTGCGGCCGAAGTTTGCTGCAGGCCTTTTCTCAGTTGTGAAGAATTTAGAATATGACCGGCTGATTCTAGATTCGCGCCCTAGTAATCTCTTGGAGCAGCCGCTACAGCGTTGGGTTCGATCCTTAGCTAGCAGCGAGAGCCTCTGCAGATTGTACATCCCACCGAATCAAAAGATCCTGACCTCCTCTAACGACTTGAAGGATTTTTATTATCTTTTCAAAATCTCTGAAGAACGATCACGTAAAAATATCCTAGCAGGGCCCATTACACCGAGTCAGGCTTCCTCCTTTAGTTGCTTCCGGGAAGAATTTTGGGGGGAAGAAAAGTTGTATGGGTCACTTTGCACCCTTGCTATGGGAGATAGCCAAGCTGTTGGGCTAGCGCAGACCTGCCATCTAAGCCTGGCCCTCCGCAGCGGTGTCAGAAGCGACCAACTCTTGACTTTGTCTGGACAGATACCCAGAGGGCCAAACTATACTGGGATAGTGATCGATGATTTTGTGTCGTTGGCTGAGGTGAATAGAGAAGCAACACTGCCGAGTGCCAGTGCTGCCGAAGCTGATAGGATGTACAACACGTATGCAGCAGTGAAACTCATCCCAAACAAAGAAAAAGCATGTAGAGACGAAACCAAAGCCACCTTTTGGGGAAGTGATTTTGATGGAGACCGCGGGCTGTGCCGCGGCACCTTGAGCCGTGCCATTCCTTTAGCCGGACTGGTGCTTAGAGTTTGCCAACTAGGACACAGCACAGTTGAACTCCTCCAGATCATTTGCGGCTCCCTGGTCTCTCTTTTCCTTTACCGTAGAAGATTGCTTAGTTTGATGGATGCAGTTTTTCAATCCTCTGTAGATCGCAAAGGCGATGAGATCGTCAAGCTGAGTGGTAGGGCCTTAGGTGAGCTCCTGATGATGGTAGTTCTACTTCCCTTTGCCTGTACCAATTTGCGTGCGCAGTTCAGGGATAGGATTTCAGCCACTGATGCCTCAGATGTTGCAGAAGCTGGGGTTAGAGCGACAATCCCTTGCACTGTCGCGCAGGAGCTTTGCCGACATAGCTTGAAGAAGAGCGTATGGTCAAAGTTGCTTCCTCCTGGCAAGGCCTGGTTCAGAGCAAGAGGCTTGTTAGACCCATTAGAAGAGTTGCCTGAAGGAGAAGAGCCGATTCAAACTAATCCTTTGTGGGAGTGTCTTGCCAGAAGTTTGCAGTACCGCAAAGTTTTTGCCACTCACGTGAAGAGCCGTAGACACATCAACATAGGAGAGCTTCGAGCGTTCCTCCGGATGGAAAACATAAATGGGTTTGACAAGCCTTGCAGTAGAGAGCTTTATGGCCTAGATTCCCAAGTTGTTCTAGGAGCTGTTTGCAAGGGCCGTAGTAGTAGTGCTGCTTTAAACCGAGAGCTGACAAAATCTCTAGGCAATATGCTTGGTTTGGAACTGTATGACGAGCTGATGTATTTTGAAACCAGCTTGAATCCTGCAGATGACCCAACCCGAGGGAAAGCTGTTCGGGAAGCTGTTGAAGCGCCGCCTTTTTGGTGGCCCCTTCTTGAACGGCAAGAGTTTCAGAAATTTGATGCATGGCTAGAGGCCAATGGACTAGGGTTTCAAAGCATTTCCGGACTCCCTGATTTTTCTGAATTGTACAGTGAGACCACATGTTTTTCAGATAGCACTGCTCCGTTCGTAGAGAGCCGAGCCTGCTCTGATTTTCCCAGGGGCTCCTATGATGAATCTGTTCCGGCTGCTTGGGATGACAGTTCGCTCCCAGTGTCCCCGAAGACAGGAGAGGCATGCCGATCAAGAATGACAGACCATGCCGAAAGTTTGCCACATGCGAAAAGTCTAGAAGCTGCAGTAGCGAATTTCTTGGCAGCGTTCAGCTGCGGCCATCACCAGATGACTGTTGCGGAAGCTGAGACTTGCGTGCGGTTTCTTAGGAGACTAGATGTCAACCAATTCCATTCAAAACTTGAATCTCAGTTTTTTCCCAGTAGACCCGGCTACCTTGATTTGTACTCCGGAGAGAAAGGAATTGCCAAAGAAATAGCTTGCCATAGCTGGTGTGTAACCTTTGAACTGCTGGACGGGATTGGACAAGACCTCAATGATGAGCAACTGCGGGACGACATCACCAGTGTAACCCGAGCAGGTCTGTTTTGGGGAGTTGGTGCGTCACCTGTTTGTGCCAGTTTTTCAGTAGCTATCACTCCACCTGTTAGGACCAGCCTCCATCCTGAAGGTATTCCAGAAATGAATGAAAAGATGAAAGTGAAAGTTCTGGAAGGCAACTCTAGCGTTGCCTGGCTGGTAGCCTTGCTATGCGTGTGTCTTGGCATGAATATCATTTTCTGGCTTGAGAACCCTGCAGGGAGTTGGATGTTTAAGCAACCAAACTTCAAAGCCTTTTTGGAAAAATACTTGGGGAAGTGCGGTTTTTGGATTTGTGACTATTGCAGGTTTGGTACCGCATGGCGGAAGAGGACTAAGTTTCTCACCAGCTCGCTAATAAAGGATAGCAAAACCTGCTGCAACCAAAAACACCGCCACTTGTTGCTCAGAGGCAGAAGCCCCTTCCACCGTAAAAGTTGGACGCTGGTAGCCCAAGCCTATCCAAAAGGGGTTGTTAAGACCGTCAGTAAAGCCATGATGATTAGTGCCAACATAATCAGTAAGCCTGCCAAGTTTTCCTCCAGTTGTTTCGCAAGATGCAATACCCTTAGGATTGGAGAAGCCCTGAACCCAGGACCGAAGCAAAATCGTGATTTTCTGCTGGAGAACGTGTCGTTGATTTCAGCAAGAACTCAGGCCCTGCAGAGCAAAATCTGGGAATGGTTTGTCCAATGGAGCAATGGAGAACTTGGAAAAAACGCAGCCAGTAGTATTCGGCAGAACCCAGTTTTGTGTGCAATGCTTGTCAAAGAATTTGGCAACCATCTTTTCTCTACCGGCAAGTCACTGTATATTCTACGCCACCTGGTTGTCTATATCCAGAAAAGTCAGATCGAAGTTCGACCGTATCTAGGAATCTGCTGGGATCTCATTCAGAAATGGGAATTGGTAGAACCACCAGTGCATCGTGTCCCTTTGCCTTTAGGAGTCCTAAAGTCTATGACCATGGTTGCGCTGAGTTGGAAGTGGTTTAGATTTGCTGGTGCCATAGTTTTAGCTTTTTATGGAATAACTCGTCCTGGAGAAGTTTTACGTGGCACGCGTGCTGACCTAGTTTTGCCAGAAGACCTCCTTAGTGATCAGCATAGCAAAGTCTACTTCCGAATCCGAGAGCCGAAGTCACGTAGAAGGGGTAAAGGTAGAATCCAGCATGCTTCCATAGACTCTGAAGAGATTTGTAACTTTTTGCGTAAAGTGTTCGGTCAGACCCCTCATGATGCTCTTCTGTATCCCATCTCCGAAAGCAGTTTCAGAAGACGATGGAATGCAATCTGTCAACACCTAGGGATCTTGAAAGAACATAATCTCACTCCAGGGTCTTTGCGTGCGGGAGGCGCGGTGTATGAATATCAGCGTTCAGCAAACCTCACAAATCTGCTTTGGAGAATGCGGATCCAACATTTAGGAACGCTGGAAAACTACGTACAGGAAGTGGCCTGTCAGACCTTTGTTGGCAAACTCTCTCCTCATTCTAGGCACATGATTCAACTGTTAGCAGCTCTTTTTGACTCGTCGCTTGGAGCCTTCAAGTGCACCTGAGGACCGCCCTTGGACCGCAAACTGTTAGCCCCCTGCTAGCACCTCGTGTTTGCTTTCCTCACTCAGGCCTGCAGCATAGGTGGATCTCTGTGCGCACAACTGCTTGATTTTGACAGCCAGCATCTGGTTTTGCCGCCTTGGGAAGATGCCGTGCCTTTACATCAAGCTGCAATTCGAGACAACTTGCGTTGTGGTCTGAGGAAAATGGCGCGCTTGAGCGCTTTGAGGTCAGAGAGGAGGGACGTCATGTTCACCATGACTCATGACTCGGGTTGACCGCAGAATCAACAGGCCCGCCCTGGGCTTCACCCCCACCCTTTTTGGATCTCTGTGCGCACAACTGCTTGATTTTGACAGCCAGCATCTGGTTTTGCCGCCTTGGGAAGATGCCGTGCCTTTACATCAAGCTGCAATTCGAGACAACTTGCGTTGTGGTCTGAGGAAAATGGCGCGCTTGAGCGCTTTGAGGTCAGAGAGGAGGGACGTCATATATATATATAAATAATAGTAATAATATGATTATATATATATATATATAATATATTGAGATTCCCACTGATTCCCACCGCAATGTGCAGGGTTTTGAGAGTCGTCAGCAGTAAATCCAGACTCATGACAGCACCAGTTATCCATTTACAGCTCCATTTGCAGGGGGTATAGGTATAAAATGGTATAAAATGGTATAAAATGATAAAATTCCTCATATTCCATCAGGATCATGTGCACCGTGTCAGTTGCTGCGTTTCGCGCTGGAGAGTGCCGTTTTTTCCCTGGAGCCAGGGGGAAGCGGAGGGCGGGGCGGAGATGGCTAGCCTCAGTGAAGAGATGGTGGGGGAAATCAAGGAGGCCTGAGTTTCCTGACCCATCTCCTGTTGTTCCAAAGCCAGGGATAGTGGGATAGTTCATGTGTTTCATGCAGTTTTCCTTTGTTGGGTATGGATGAAAGTTTAAAACCCAAGGACCTCACACATTTTGGTCACTTCTTAGATTTGGCCATCCAACTCTTGGTACCCTGTTTCTTGCCCATACCTATACGGATGACTGACTTACCATAATTTTCAATTTTGGTAACAAGTAGATGCCTCTACAATCGAGGCAAAATCCCTCATGAATTGCCGCACCTACTAGTAGGATCCAGAAAATGGGGTCATTTCACTTTTTACGACCCGCATTTTGAAAACCATCGTTTTTCAGGATGTGACCTGATGTGATCTGATGTGATCCATATAGAGATAGATAGATAGATAGATAGAAAGACAGACAGACAGACAGTCAGACAGACAGACAGACAGTCAGACAGACAGACAGACAGTCAGACAGACAGACAGACAGTCAGACAGACAGACAGTCAGACAGACAGTCAGACAGACAGACAGTCAGACAGACAGACAGACAGTCAGACAGACAGACAGTCAGACAGACAGTCAGACAGACAGACAGTCAGACAGACAGTCAGACAGACAGACAGACAGACAGACAGTCAGACACACGACAGACAGTCAGACAGACAGACAGACAGACAGTCAGACAGTCAGACAGACAGACAGACAGTCAGACAGACAGACAGACATACATACATACGTTACATAATATGTATCTGGTTATTTCTTGTACATAGTGACTGAGTGACCCTCCTCGGGCACCAATTCAGAGCAACTCCATGGCCAGGCCTTTGAGCTCTTCGCGCGCTTCGGGGGCACCGACACCGTGGAAGCCAAGAAGCTGGGCACGTTGCTGGCGTCCTTGGGGATGAACATGCCCGATGAGGATGGGATGCCCAGGTGTCCCACCCAACTGGTGAACAGCTTAATTACTCTGATATTATATATATAATATTTATAGATATGTAAGTATGCATGTATCTACATATTTCCAAATCTCTAGACTACACACATATCTATACCTCTGTAAACCAAATTGACATAGAGTCGAGTTATACGCTGAGTCACTGAGGTTGGTGATTCCAATCATTTTTCAATTTCCATCCCTCCTTTACTTGGTATGCCAATTTCCATAAATTTCCAATTCTTCTGGAATGGACTGTTACTAAACATGTAGTCCGGAAACATCCGCAGAAAACTTACCAATGATGGGATGCATTTGACTTGTGTGTGGGTGTCGCTATAGCCATGCACACTCAAAAATCTAAGATGGAATTAATGGGGACCCACAAAGAGCCAATTCCAGAACCCAGGAAAACAATCGTTTAAAGCGGGGTTTAGTGTTCGTATCCCCAGTTGCCTGATTTAAAGGACAACTGGTGTTTTGTCTTGCAAGGACGACCTTTTCCACTTCCGCATCATAATATGGTTTTGTCTGAAAAATAAGGTACCCAAAAAATCCAAAGGTACCCAAATAATATAGTTTCGCATGTTAATTGCAATTTTTGTGTCTCCCCAATTTTCAGACACACCAGGTTTTGGTAGTTTTCTGGGAGTATTTTGCAAGCAGGCCCCACAGGCAAAGAGAGGCGCTCATCCATGGTCCACCTCCAGGTATGCTCAGGAGTGTGGTGTTTATTATTTGTTCCTTTTTATTTTTGGAACTATTTTTCTAATCATTCTATTTATACCCCTGAATACATTCAGTAGGTTAAGGTAGGAAAGTCCAATCAAAATCTCAAAGATCACAATTTGACAATCAGCCTCTGGACAGGAGCTTGCTGCAACACGAGGGGAGGTGGCGAGTCTCGGTGCGTATTGCCAGGCTTTCCAGAGATGTTGCTGAGTGACACTAAAAACTAACTCCGATGGTTAAATGGTTACCCACTTTCTGCCATAGTTTTAAGGAGATCTTATCATTATATAGGATATTATAGGATATTATTGGATATTATAGGCCACAGATGGAAGAAAGGCCAGAGTTGATCCGAGCTCAGGAGAGACAATGTGATCCACCTGGATGACTTTTTGGTCTTCATGGAGAAACGGGTAAAAGAAGACCACGCTCGACAGGAGGAAGAGCTCCGAGAGGCCAGCGACAGTGATATCAGTGATATCCCAAGGGTCGGTGGGTTGGTCCTGATGTGCCCTATGACACCCTATGCACATGACGTACATGACTTATTTGCAAAGGATTGATCATTGATGTCTTTCTGTTTCGTTTCTTACACGTTCTCCCTTTCAGGTGCCAATTGGAGTATATGTATTCACATTTTGGATAAACATGCAAGCTCACAAGATATCACACTTCATTGTATTTCTGACATGCAAAGTGTACTTGAAGATCTGTTGTGATCAATGTTTATGACACACACACACAGAGACAGACATTTACGGACGTGAATAAATCACCAACGAACTGACTGACTCACTGACTGACTGATTGACTGACTGAACACCTAACTAACCACTTAGAAACTGTACAACAATCTTGTTGGTGCATTAGCGTGGATTTTGCTCCAACTATTTGCTTCAGTTTGTTATACATATATATTGCATGGCGGAAGGGCATTGCCATTTTTTTTAACAACGGAAAGAATTTTACTTAGTATGCGTGACATGTAGACAATACATAAGATACAGTATCATAAGATGCTGTTTTTGACATACATGATTTTGAATTTCGATATAATATTACGAATCTACTTGCTCACATTTGTTTCTGCAGTATCTTGCTTTTGAAACAACATATATAAATGACCACATATTCTACAAAAAACACCGCAACAACATCATATCAATCAAGTACAGCAAGCAACGTGTGGTTTTGTATTCGGGAAAGTCTCAAACGACGGACCAATTCGCAACATGGTGTTGTCCTTGCGAGGTTTTTCAAATGCTGGACAAGGATGGCACAGGATGGGTGAACATGTCAGATCCTTGTATTTATGGGGTTCATGTCATTGGAGCGGATTGTTGGGGGTTGATTGAAGCATACTGCAGGCCTAAAAGACCGTGATGCTGGAGGGATCACTTTGCCATACAATATCATAATAATGAACAAATCCCCATTTCTAGTGAAAACCTCCAAGATTTGGTTTCCTGCTTCTGGCATCAAGTGGCTTGTGCCTGAAAAAAATCGGTGCATTTGATGAATTGCTGCAAAGAAAAAATTGATGAGTGTACGCAGTTCATGTTAGCTACCCAAACACTAAGCCTCGGTGATCAGGAAGTCAGGTACTGTATATCTATGTCCCTAGGGCGTAGGGGGCTGACCTTTGTGGCCAAAATGACTGAATTCTATGCGGGACTGCTATCTGTGGTGCCCAGGGTTCCCCAGGTTTCTGGGTGTCCTTGATCTAGCGTGATTATGTTTTTTTTTGCTGTTTTTTGAGATAGGAGGCTCCGTCATTGATTTTCTTGCACCGAGCTTCTGAAAATTCAAGGAAGTCCATGATATCATGGCGAAGCTGGGAAGTGGATTGGAGAGCAAATTTCCAGATGATTGGACTCCCAGAAGCAGCGTGGCAGCAAAGTGTAGCTGGGGAGAAAACTGAGAAAACACATCACAAACTCTGAACCCATCCAGTGGGGCATTTTTTTTCGAGTGGCTTACCATGATCTCCATGGCTTACCTGAGTTTGGTGGCACATGATCTCTTGGGCACGTGACAATCACTGGCGGTGTGAAAGATGTAGGATCGCCAGGAGCCGGAGGAGCTTTTGAGCGTTTCATGAAGCCCTGGTTGAGTAATTCAGTAATTGGCTAAGCACTGCAACATCACCTCAAAACAGAAGAAGCAACCACTTGAAAGTGTTTTTTCAAAATTGCTTTGTCAGACAATCTCAGAATCTGCAGTGGTTTTGGCACCGGCTTTGAATCTCCCAAAATACCATGGCACCTAGCTTGTGCACATCTCCGAGGTGAGCCTCCTCAGAAGGAAAACTGGGTTGACTGGGAGAAGTTCAAAGAGATGCTAGGCTCCTAGGACCCTCGGATGATCATTGGATGATCCATGGATCCTGAGACGGGGATGAAATGATCAACGCACGCTGAGACCCATCGAAGCCGTGTCGTCAATGGGCTGTTGGCGCAGCGCGTCAACGTTTTTCAGCCTCACCCGGCGTCATTGGAGGCTTCAGAAACTTTCGGACATGCCAAAGACTAGTTCAGTAATCCCTCAAAGTTGGCTTTCAGAGATCTTCGCAAAATTCTTTGCAACAGCACTTGAAATACTGCAAAAGAGTAGGGAAGTTCACTGAAACTTGGCAACTTTGCAACTGAGCGCCGAAATTTGACAACAGGCCACAGATTTTAGCCCAACGGACCAACGGGTATTTTTTTTCTCCTCTTGTGCCTATTAGTGACTGCACCTCATAAAGCCTCCAACGATCGTCTCTTAGATGGCCATCGGTGAGGGAGGTGGGTGGGAGCCAACATTTTAAGCTGGGCCCGACACATCCTCCACCGGTGCTGTGAGCTCCACCCTCCCAAAAGGGAGTTGAGTGTGATGTGTGGTCTTAGAAAAGGCAATTGATATCAGTTGATATCAGTGGATCCAATGGTTGGAGCTTTGCACTTTATTTTTGTTCGCAGGACATGCGGTACATCGGTACATCTTCCCTCGGATTTAGCATTGGCTCGGCTCAAGGATGTCAACACAATCTGCGCCAGGGTGCTGAGGCGCTGAGGCCAGGACAGCTGTTTCGAATCTGGCAAGTGAAGTAAGTGAAGCAATGCCGACCAGTTAGGACCACTTTGCAGACCCATGGGCCACTCATGGGCCACCCATGGGCCACTCATGGCCACTCTATATGCTGAGCAGGTGTCCAAAGTGATGCATGGAAGGAAGGCCGCCTGCACCTTGAGAGGCGTGCCAGTCAAGTGGTGACAACAGGAGTCATTTGGCTGACCAGGTGGGATGACCATACACAAAAAGGACAGCTCCCTACATTGGCAGAGCCCGTAGCAAGTTTTCCGTTGGTTCAAGTTGTTTCCATGCTTTGTCGGCTGCATCTTCAGTGAAATATAGCCGTGATATAGCCGTATCATGACCTATTTACCCATTGATCATTAATTATTAATCCATCCATTTCTTTAGTTTTATCAGACATTTATCATGTCTTATCCACATCTTAGCTGATCTCCCGACTTTGCCTCCAGCATCCAGCAGCTTCCATGCCGCTGGGTTGGCAGGCGGATGGAATCGCTTGCAGCTGCGGCGGGCGACCAAAGCTGTCGCTGCCGTTTTTCACGAGGTCGGCAAACCTTTGGAACTCCAAGAGGTGCGCTGCTGGATGGAGCAAAGGGGCAACTTTTCTACAATTTTCTACCATTTTCTACCATTTTCTACAATTTTTTGCAATTTTCTACCCAGGATTCGGGGATAGATGACAGCTATCTCTTGGGATGGGCACTTGAAATTGGATGGAAATGGATGAAACTGCATGAAATTGGATGCCCTGCCTGGAAAATCATCAGGATTTACCAGGCAAACTGAGACTGGTGGCATTTGAATGCTCATCCCGTCTCTGGGTGCTGCAGCTGTTTGGTAGACATGGTGGCAGCAGTTATATGTGGTGGCATATTGTATGATGGTTTGAACATGAATACTGAGTGTCCTCCGGCTTGCATGATGCTGCAGTATGGTGGGAAGCGTGTCCCAAAACAATCCAAAACCAGGTTTACTTGCGTTCCCAACCCAAGTCCTTTTCGCACTTTACTTGACAGTTTGGATTGATTCTCTTAAATGGTGGTCGTACTATTCCTGTTACAGAATATGAGCCCTTTGGAGAATTCTGGCTTAGATTCAGTGTACTGGTGACATCCTGTTCCACCAGATTCCTTTGCCCGACAAGCTGAACGAGGGTGAGTTGCTCGTTCGGATGGAGGCAATGTCCCCAGTGCCGGGGCGGAACAAAAGAGAAACATAGGTTTTTAATGGTTTTTATATGTTTTTAAGAACATTTGTTGGACCGCTTTTTTGAGCAACACAACTGAGAGCCTCGTCATAAAATCTGCAGGGTCCTGAGGGCCCTGCTACAGAAAGACACGGCTCATGCTCTCTGTACAGCAATTCCCCATAGATGTTCTTTTGTTTCGGAGTGGCAGCCTGTTCAGACGTCCAAATGTCTAGCCACACGTGGAGGTAGCCACGATTTGTGGAAGCGACTTGCACACGGCGGTCTTCTCAGTTGCCCACGTGGCACATGATATCGATTTCAGATTGGGGACCCGAAAGCCACCCGTTGGTGGCTGATCTTCAATGTGAACCGGTGGGAAAAGCATCTTTAAAATCTTCACTTGGCAAGTCACCTGCGTAAATAAGGGTTGTCCATGGCTTTCCGGAGAGTAAGACTTGAATATGACATCAACATGCGCGGATGTACGCCGAAATAGGACAGAGGAACCAGCGCATGAAGCATCAGGGAAACATCACAGGCCTCAATGGGCATTTGTTCAGAGATCTAGACTCTCTAGATCATGATGACTGATGGCTGTATTAAACATAGCCATGGTCAGAGACCTCAAGAGGGAACTGAGATGAACTGAGCCCTTTCATGCCCTCTCTATTTTGCCTCACAATATGACCTTCCCTGCCGATTTTTGGGGCAACTGTGAACAACTCCCATCTGGACAGTCTGTGTTTTGTTACGCTCACAGCACCGCCGTAGCGTTCGCCCACACTGAGGTGAGTGGCAAGAGACAGGAACCAATGCCTTTGGTGCTGGGCCACGAAGGTGGCATATCTGTCGACCGTGGCCTGGTGTCAATGTATGGTCAGCTCACCATGGGTACACGGTAATGGTAATCCATGGTCCTTAGATTTGCCGAAATGGCCACAGTCAAGTGCAAAAACCATCTTCAACAGCAGCAATTCACCCTTAACCTAGATGTTTGCTGGCAATCCCAGTGGTTGTCAGTTAGATATTCCACTTTTTGATACTGTTCGTAGGTGAAATGTCCCATTTTGCTACCAGTTTCAGGATTTTTTTCAGAGGATTGGACTCCCATAACATTTGGGTCCCGCCCCTACGGCAGGGGTTGGTGTCATCGAGCGCATCGGCTCCGATATCTTCAGCGGCAACCGGCCCAGGTGCGATGGAAGATGGGGAACTTGGATATCTTGGATGGATCAACATATAATATCATGATCATGATCAACAATAGAAGAATCGTCACAAATTGACATATGAGGTCGTATATCATGATGGTTAAACTGATGGACATAAATTGGAGATATGACCACTGATACCTGAGTGTGTACCAAAGTTGGAACTGTGAGATGATAGAATAGTGATGAATAATATAGAATATGGGTGAGCTGGAACAACAAACAAAGATAGGGATATGAGCCTGAGCAAATTGCCATGGCATAGTCTTGTGCGGTGAGCAGGGAAAGCATACTGGCTGGGCCCTCCTTTCTCATCTTTTTACATCCACGCAGGACTCACCTCCTTACCACCAGCAATCAAGTGGAGTACAGTATTGATGGATGAAACGAAAAAGATCAACTTCAACATCCATGACTCTAGGGATACCTCTTGATGCATGATTCATTGATACTCATTTGAGATTGTCCCCATCCCTGAACAGCATGTGGTGCTCATCAGCAGGCCCCGCGGCCCCAACTCAACCCTTCAAGTGTTCCCAGTCCCTGTTTTGTTGAAGCGATGGGCCCCTAGAAATGGATACGTTTCACAGTTTCACTGTCGTTGAAGCACCCGTAAAGCAACAATAGGATACAATAGGATTCGTTGCGAAGATACACGACATTGATCGATATTACAAACACAAGTTTGCGTTTCTGTTTTGGAATCCCGAATTTGGACCCATGCGCCCAGCGCTCCTCCACCTGCAACTGTCCCATCTTCCCAAAACTGCTGAAGCAAGATCCCAGATTGGAATATAGAGGTTTCAAGATGCCCGCAGGCTCCCATTTTTCCCATGTTTCTTGCAAAACTCTCAAACAGTTTTCCAATTTCTTGTGCATAAACTGTCATAAATTACATCCTTGGCCACCAATTTTAGTAGGGTTTCGTATTCACTTTTCACGTGAGGCACCGCGGCTGGAAGCTGCAGGAAGGTGACCGTGTGACCTTCAGCGTGGCGGACTCCTGTGGCCTTTGCCCGGAGTGCACACTACACAAGTGCCCCGGCTGGGATTGGCTGGGGAATGTGAAGGTGGACGAGGTGGATTCGCATAATTACAATGAACCATAGATGTACATGCAAATTCAGTATTCAATTATGCATGTTACAAGTATCATCCACCATCTTTCTATAATTCAGAGTGCATATCGGAGCTATAGTATAGATGGGTGGACTCGCGTGATATTATCTGGAACCCATGTGCACAGATGAGAGCTTACTGTTGGAGAGTTTCAGTTGCAGTGGTGTCATTTAAACAATTTTCAGCCAGCAACGCAGAAATAAATGGGTAGATTCAGTGCATCAGATACAGTGTTCGCCTCCATATGCCTCTTCGCAAATTGGTAGAATTGTTGGGGCTTGGCTTTCCTCATGTTGATCAGCAGTAGCCGCTCAGTAGCCATTGATTTTGGGACTCATTTCCGCACAGCAGGCTTCCGCAGAAGTGTGTTTCACTGATGAAGTGCTCCATGCCTGTGGCTATTTGTACCCTCTGGGTAACAGGATCGATATCAGGGCGTAACCAGGGACCAAGCAAAGTTGATTCTCACAAGCATGATACGGGAGAGATTTCAAAAGAACCCTTTTATGGGATAGACATGTTCCGCCTTGCTGCCATTCCACGTCTTATCTAATGTGCTTGATGAGAAATGCTCTGCTCGTGATCCTTTCGCCGCTCGCTGCCAACAAAGAGCTTAGGCTTAGACATATTTTTTTCTGTGGTTCCCGAAATGGAGTCACCCCACAAGGTACGGCCACAGCAGGATTTCGGAGGGCAGTGGCCTCAATGGCACGTGCCCCGCACTGACAGTGGCCACCCGAACGTAGTTCTTTCAGAGGATTTGTTCATCTATTAGGGCCAACAAAGGGGCAAGGGGTGACCAAAAGCTTGAGATAGGAATATCGGAATACTGCAACCGTGAGTTATCAAGTACATCTAAATCTTCAATACAATCAACATATAATCCATCATTTGGGTATATTTGGGTGATTCTTAACTTTCAAGGGAAGAGATCTGGGATTGCCCTCAATCCTTTGGAAGGTCCAGCCCAGTTGAATTCTGTTAAGCCCTTGGAGGTACGCTAGCCACATTCTGCTGAGACCAGGGACCTTGGGCCAGTGCATGAGAGAAGCTTTTTGGGTCTTAAGTTCATGAGTTTATTAGGTGTGTTTTGTTTTTTTTGGCCATAGGCCGCGTGATCATGGGATAGCTGGATGATGCTGGATGATTTATCAGATGGAATCATTTCAGTGAGAGCCCCTTCTCTGCCACGTGTTTTCCGCAACGGGATGGCTTCATGCAGTGCACAAACCAACTGATGTGGTGAAGCGGTCAACCCAAGCCCCAAGTGGGTACCTATGGATTCCAGGAATGCCCACCTGGTGAAATTTGGTTTGCCACACTAGTTGATTGCTATTTCGGTAATTCGTAGTGACCCAAATCATCTGAATTTCCCCACTGAGCCAGATCTCACTTCTGACACCCGGAGAGGACGCATGCTGTGAAGTTGCCCAACCAGTTGAGCTCCAGGGTGGGGTGTGATAGGGGGCCCAAAACTATTGCCACTGAAGATGCTGTTTGTGAGGCCATTGGCTCCACATTAAACAATAGCATGCAATAGCTATGTTGGCAGCACCTGACTTCAGATCCAATCCACAGAAAGCTGCCTTTTCCTGGAATTCGCATGTCTCCAAATTGAAATCGGGGAAGAGTCTATCAGTAAGTCCACAGCTAAAGTAGATCAAATGGAAAACATACCCAGCTATATCAAACCGGGAGCTGAAGGTTTTTGAAGGATCCAAGGCAGATTCGACAGATGGCATTCACACGCCTGTACTAAGCTACATACCTCTGGCTAGCAGCGGCTAGCAAAAGAATGTGCTTTTGCAATCTTTTGCATGTTCTTGCATTTTGGCCGGAGATTTCCACAATGCCCAACCTGGCAACACCTGGAAATCCCTCTAGTTCTGGGTTTGAAACTCCAGCCGTTTCTTGTTCCATGCCAGGTGTGCGCCCCTGCCAACTGCGCCCTGGCCACGGTGGTGAACGCGCTGGACATGGCTCGGCTACCGAGGCCTGATGGGGTGGTTGTGCTCCATCCACAGCTGGTGATGGAAAGCTAAGGGGATTTGGATGGGATCTGGGCCTGACATCTACTGTTTCCCTACTAAATATTCCAGATTTGCAAACCCCCAAAACTGGATAGTTCAATACCATGTGAAACATCATTTGTAGATTTGATGGGCTTCGATTCTGATCCTCAGCCTTTTGCCTGGGAACGTTGAGGCTCCAATATGGATGGGCAACAGGATCTTTTTGCCCAATCTTCACAGGGCCACCGGTCCAGCATGGCCCAGCCCTTTCGCCAGGTACGGTGCAAACAAGAGTGCAGTGGTTCAAGGTTGGGAGCTGGGCTGATTTTGGATGAAAAAATGCAGCCGGGGCTTCTGGCGATGGACAAAATTATATCAACGCAAAGTGAGTACACGAGTGTCCCAACATCTTCCAACATCTTTCATTCAGATACATGCTCTTTTAATCTCTTTATCACAAGCCATTCTTTATATACGTATATTATATATTATATACAGCACATACATGTTATATAATTATATAAATATATTTATCCCATTCATTCACTCATCTATACTCCAATGATTGTGGTCTCTGATATCTATTGAATTCTATTGATGTATCCATGGATGATTCAATGATGTTCAATGTATCTCTGATGTGAGGCACACAGACCACGTGACCACCATAGACCACTAGTGCCACCAGGTCCTTATCGCGCCAGGCGTTGGGCTCCTGGGAATCTATGCCGTGGCATGGCTTCGGAAGCGTGTAGGGATGGACAGGCCGGCGCCTGAAGCCATGGGGAAATATGACATACCCACCATTCCAATGTCAAAGATTGGGGTCCCAATTGAAGCTTATCTTGGACGTATGGAGTGGAATCTCAAGATACAGTATTCATCACTATTGTTAAAAACACGCATATTTCTTGGTTGTATATGTAATAATCTCAACAAACCTATTGCATCCAGATCTTGGTAACTCCTCATTTTGATCTGTGAGCTCCTCATGTTCGGCTTCGCTGCTTCCCCGAAGTTCACCGTGCCTTGTCGCAGTGTCTTCTGCCTGGACACCGACGCAGAGCGCCTGAAGACGGCGAAGAGGTTTGGTGGTATTCCACTGCTGGTCACCGGCGATGACCAGGAGTCCGCGGGAGCGGTGGTGTGTCATGACTGAGATGATCTGAGATGTAGGAAAAGCCACGGGGTTTTCCCTGTGTACTGTACTTGGGATGGGTGGTTCAATGTGGTTCACTCCCATGGATGAAGGTTCTATATCCCACCATCAATATCGAGACAGTCTCAGATTAGATCAGAAAGGTAGGATGACCAGAATCAGGTGAGCTCATCTCCGATGTCAGATTTGGATTTGCTTGAGCGTCTCTAAAACAGTTGAACCCCTTAATATCATTTCGGGCGGCAGCAAACCATTTCGCTTGAGCTGTTCCTGTCATCCTTTCGAAGATCCCCTTGGCCGTAGCCCGGGTCCAGGATGTGCTGGAGCGTTCCCGCACCATCCGAGAGATGTATCCCCGTGGGGTGGATGTGGCCGTGGAGATGACGGGAGCCAAACACGTGATCCACGAGGCTGGTGACATAGGAGCTCCACTGTGGTGAGCCTCGGCTCCAAAGAAATATAAGAAATGGATAGAAATGGCACATTTTGGAAATTTTGACGGTTATCATGTAGGGGATCACAACAACACAAAACCTGGAAGGGAGAACGCACACCCAAGACAACCTCGAGAAGCCGAAAAGACGGAAAAATGTAGCAAAGATAAGGACACTTTTCTGGGACTCCTGGATCTACACGCATATGCAGATACTGCAGATCATTGTCCCTTTTTCTTGGTTTGATTCGGCTTTTCAACCTAACATCCGGTGTATCCAACATCACTCAAGCAGTTCTCGTGGAGTGTGCCAAAGTTGCATTGCTGTTTTGCTTTCCTTCCAACATCTTCCAACATCTTTCAGCACACTTCAATTGTCGTCCACCGTTTTTGTTTGCAGAGATTGTGCTACCATCACGGCCATCACGGCCATCAGGGGGTGGGTATGGCCGCAGCCAGGGCGTTCAATTGCTGCGCAACGGCGGACACTACTCGTTCACTGGAATGGTGCCGTGGCACTATCCAGACATATCCAGACCCTTTGCACTGGTGGGGCACATTTTAGAAATGTTATGAAATCTGTAAAAGCAGTATGTATGTTTCTCGAACATTGCATGATTTATCAGCAGTTATTTTCTTTCCCCATTTTTTTCAGCCAAGGGCCTGTTTGTGCCGTGATATAGCAACCTTTAAATCACCTTTATTCATTTTGTACCTGCTTCTCTGGGCGGCCCCCAATTTGGGGATGCAAATAGCGCCGCAGTTCTGGGCTGGACTTGCATGGAGATGAACCATGATGAACCGCTGTAGATATCTGTAGATGCTGTAGCTCGATGTAGCTCGGTTCCTGCTGAACTTCCATTGATATTGGGATTCAGATGGATTCAGGACTTCCACCATTTGAATTCTTCGAGGGTTTATCTTGTGAAGCGAATGAAACTGGGAGGCGAGTTCTTGATCTACCCCCCAAACTGGATGCTTTTGCAATAAACATCGAATCATCCACTCAACTTGGAACATGCTGAGTTTTCTAGGACCCGCCTGCAAAGGTGGGGCTCAAACTGATTTGGTCATGAGCAGATTTGCTGTTCCCTGAGGTGCATCCAGATTCACAGCTCTCTTCTTTGACGGGCGAAACAATCATCAGAAAGGCAGCGGAATGCAGTGGATAAGAATCAGGACCTGAAAGAGATATAAAGAGAGTCACTGATGAATTCTACACACGGCAGCGTTTGGGAGAAGACTCAATCAGCAGTATATTTTCAGGATTGAAACTGTTCACCAGGTCAAGTTTGACGATGATTATGAAGCACAACGCATCAACACATTTTTGTTGAGACGCTGCACAATTTTGCTGTGCAGCCTGCAGTGCCTGACGATCCGCGGGGTGCACAACTACACTCCTTGGAATTTGGAAGAAGCTGCACGGGAACCAAGTCTACTGGAGCATTGTGGCATATGGGCCATTCCCTTGGATACCGCCTGGCACCAACCGATGTGCTTGATTTTGAGTTCTCGGGGAAAGAACTTGTGCAATACCTGGCTTGACTTCCCCTTATTTTGATTTATTTTTGGGTAGGTCACATATTATTAGGGCGAATGCAAACTGTATGCCTGACTATCAGGGCTGATTTTTGTACCATTTAGTTATATAACTACGTTTGCAAGGCAGAGCGTTGCATGGCAGCAAGGATCTTCCTTTTATGCAGTGAAATGAAATGGATAGGTCACATCATTTTGGGCCACTATAGGATACTATAGGACACTATAGGTTTCAAGTCTGGTTTCATTGGATCCAGAAACAGGGTGCCGCCTGTGCCAAAAGGTGAAGTTCCTGGATGAGTTTCGAGAAGAGCTGCCCTTGGAATCCGTCCTTTCACCCACGAGCCGCGGGATCCCAGACGGTCACCATGAGATATCAAAAGGCCATGGGCCATAAAAGGCCAACAACACTCCATTTATCGCCATGAGATTGTATTGAAACACATCATTGTAGTTCTAATATATATATATAATATATATATATATACGTATATATATATATATATGTTCTTAATATTTCATCATTAATTACTTCGTATTATGGGTCAACAGTATTGGACCTCCAAAGTGGATGGTCTAATACTTAACAAACTTTGTGACTGTGGGCCCATTGGTGCCCGAATTTTGATCCATACCCAATCATACCCATACCATTTTCACCTTGATTTGCAGAGGCTACCGCCTGTCGCAAATCAATGAAGCCTTTCAGCAGGCCACGGGGTGGTTGGGACCCCACAAAAGCATTTTGACCGTGGAAACATGGGGGGGGTATCAAGATTGGTACCTCATACGAAACAATCTAACTCAATCTACATTTAGCAGTTGGTTTGGTCGATTTTGATCCCTCTCACCATTCAGATATGGTCATGGTGGATATGGTGGCATTGCAATATTTTCGACTGACTAGAGTTCAGTTCTTGGGAATATAAGCATCTGGGATTCATTTTCCGACTTGTTGGATTCATTATACATTCGTTTGGTGACATAGTCAAAAGATGTGAAAAGGCAGGGCATCTACCTCATGAAATGTGACAGCTGTCAGTCCCTAATCTCTATCAGTCGGTGGAAGCATCCCGAGCGCAGCAACTCATTTCCACTTTGATTCTTTTGAGCCAGCGCCTGACTCACGCCCAAAAGGGTCGCAGCCAAACCCAATGCACTGGTCCGTGATCTGATTTAGTATTTGGAGAATCGCTTTGTATCATTTGCCAACTGGCAAGACGTGGATGTTACTTTGACAAATGCTGGGTCTCTGGTTGTGACTCTGCCAGGCGCACACAGGCTCCTATTGCCGTGTCGTGGCACACCTGGCATGCCTTGCTCCCCGTGGTGGATGACATGAAGTTGAGACAAGTTGAGACTAAGATTCAGTTCAAGCAGGCTAAGCTTTACAGGAACAATACCTTTCTCCCTTTTGGACTCAGCATTTCAAAGAATGATGCCCAAAATCTACCAACGTGGTCCCATATTGTCTATTTCAGGAGCACAAACGCACAAACCGAAGAAATTATGTGTCAACTTTTGAACTCTGCTGCAGGTTGATTGCCAGAACATTTGACGGGCAACGCAGCGGCGCTGCTGCGGAAAGTATCACTTATATAATTTTTACCATTGCCTGCGAGGTCTTGGTTGCTTCCGTAAGCCTAGGGTACGGGGTAACATACGCCGGTATTTTACTTAACAAGCCTCCTACTTTTGAACCGCGTGAATTTATTCAGGACTTTAGGTCACACCGCTTGTGATATATATGTCCGTATGATGCCCGAACTGCCGCAATTAAGTTATAGCAATTGTGAGTGGCTTAATGCCTTGGACATTACTTTGTTGTGCCTTGACAGGTCATCATCCGCTAGGGGTGTTTGGGTGTTTGTGAATTTCTCAAGCCAGGACGAGTAATTCTTTAAGTTCCCAGGCAATAGGAAGCATCTTCCAACAGGTGACGAGGGGCGAGGTTGTACATAGCTGGGCCCAGCCGGCGGCGGGCCGTGTGGGCCATGGCATGAATGAGGCCGCACACGTGCCAACTCCTTCTGATGTTTGGGGTCACTTAATGAATATTTTGGTACACTGCTTTTGCATCATCGGCATCAGCATCAGCATCCGCATCAGGATCAGCATCATCAGCATCAGCGTCATCAGCATCAGCGTCATCCTCATCCTCATCCTCATGTCCATGTCAATTTTCATGTTCATGTCCATGTTCATATTCATGTACATGTTAATGTCCATGTTCACGTACATGTTCATATTCATGTCCATGTTTATCTCCATGTTCATGTTCCTGCCCATGTTCATGTCCATTTTCTTGACAATATTCATGTCCATATTCATGTTCATGTTGATGTCCATGTTCATTTCCATATTTTTGTCCATGTCTATTTCATGTCCATGTTCTTGTTTATGTTCATGCCCATGTTCATGTCCATATTCATGTTCATGTCCATGTTCCTGTCCATATTTATATATGTTTATGTTTATGTTCATGTCCATATTCATGTTCACTAAAATGGTCATGTTCATGTCCATGTTCATCTCCATGTTCATGTCCATATTCATGTTCATGTTCACGTCCATGTCCATGTTCATGTCCATGTTTATGGCCATATTCATGTTCATGGTCATGTCCATATTCACGTTCATGGTCACCTCCATGTTCATGTGCATATTTATGTGCATGTTCATGCCCATATTCATGTCCATGTTCACGTCCATCTTCATGTTTATGTACATGTTGATGTCCATGTTCATGACCATACTCATGTTCATGTTTATGTTATGGTCATTTCCATGTTCATTCCCATATTCATGCCTCTGTTTAGGTCCATATTCATGTTCATGTCCATGTTCATTTCCATATTTGTCGCTATAATTGCCTTCGGCAAGCCCGCCGGCCATAGAGAGGTGGCCCCAAGGGAGTTTGATGTGCACTCTAGGTGGAAGCCCGCGAGAGAAGCAGAAGAGATAAGAAGGAGAAAAAGAACAAGAAGAATAAGAAGAAGAAGAAGAAGAAGAAGAAGAAAAATAAAAATAATAAGAAAGGAAGACGAAGACAAAGCCGTAAAACGGAAGCGGCTTGTGTAGCAAGTGCTGGCTGTAACAACCTATTGATCGTATATCAAATTAGTACCGCCCCCCAGCAAAGTAGTGCCAGGTACTATGTATGAGCCTCTGGCTTGACAGCAGACCGCTGCATGGAAGGAGACACGGTGGAAGCGGAGAGAGATTGCCCCAAGGGAAGTTGATGTGCACGCTAGGTGGATGCCTGAGGGAGAAGCAGAAGAGAAGAGAATAAGAAGAAGAGGAAGAAGAGGAAGATCCTTGATTAACTCGACAGTGAACAGGTCCCTAATGCTCTCTTTGGCCTACACGATTTAGATCAATTGTTGCATGATGTCTAGGACTACTTAGTTCACGATTTGTGGAGCGTTGCTTGACTTTAGCCAGCAGAAGGAGCTTTGGCAGAGGCTCACATGATTCACCTTTCCTCAAGCAATGAACTAGTGGACAAAAAACACAAATTGCTGATGCGTGCATCTTCAATCATATTGTGTCTGCTGCAGATTAGATGGGGCGTGATCGTCCATGGCAGTGGCGGCAGCGCTCTCTATACTGATCTAATTTGGTCTATATAATTCTATATAACTATATGAAATGGTCTGAAGATCTCTGTAGTTGCTACATTAGTATTCAGGCTCAAATGAAGGGCTTCTTCCTGCGGCCCCCTTCTGCATGCGTGCGCGGCATGCGGTGACGGCCGATGATGGCCGATGATGCGCCATGGATGGCTTCTCCCATGGCTCTTTGGGGTGGCAAATTCCCAGGCTCCCAGCAGGTTTCTGCAGGGCACGGTGACCTCCACTCTGACCACGGCCACAACGACCAGTGATCCCTGTATTTTGGCCCAAGATGAATGTGCCTGTGCCGCAGGAAAGGTCTGCGGATGGAGTGCTTTTGCCAACGGCGGTGGCATTTGTCAAAATCGGGGCCGGCCCACAGAGATCGATTGCTTTCTGTGCAATACACAGGAGAAATGCGCAACAACCAATTGTCCCCAACTGACAGATGCCTGTGACTGTGCAGCAGCTGCTGGTTGTGCTTGGGACATGGGTTTCGGAATGTGCCTAGTTGCGAGTGTCCAGACAGACTGTCGGGCGTGTCCCACGCAAGCTGGATGCAATTTGGATCCACCAGTTCTCCTTCCGAATGGCTTCAACCCGTTGAACGGAGGCAGGGTTGCTGGGGGGCTTATGTATGTGATGTTGGCCGGTATTTGGCTGGTGTTAATGTTACAGCACTGTGACTGCTAGGAGTCCTAGCAGACTTCCATGTTTAATCAATTTTATATCATTCAATTTATGTCCGAGTTATTTGCTTGAGTATCTTGAGAGTGTGCCACTCCGGTTTCAACCCTGGAGGTTCATATAGCGGTGGCGCCGATCTGCAGGTGGTCGGGCGCCCCAGTGAGTGCGCGCACATGTACGATGGGTGAATCCGTCCCATGGTCTTAGGAAAGGAAATTTGGCCGACAAAACGGGGAAAATACTGGGGCTTGGAATGGAGGGGTCATTGATCCCAATTTGTTTGGTTTGCTGGAGCCAGCTCTGATTATTTCAGAGAAGAAACAAAGTGCTTTAACCCTGCACAGAAACCTTGGGTAAGACGTTGGCAAAAGAATCTGAAACACGGCGACATGAACGACTTCACTCTACGGTCAAGGTGCAGCCCCAGTTGTTGGAAATCTATTAAAAACAAGGGCACGCCGGCATTAGCGGCGCTGGACTTTTTGGCAGCTGGCGTGCAGCGATGTCTGTGTTAGTGAAATAGAGCTGGCATGGCCGCCCAGACATCTCCTTTACAGTTGCGGCGCCACATCCAGCTGTAAATCCAATCCCACAACGCAGGATTAACCTTTTTGGTTTTTGGATCCTTTGCTGTGATCTCGGATGGAACATACTTCTTCAAATCTTGCCATGCTCTGTCCAAGGTTTGAGTGCCAGCGGTCACTGGCTTTTGATTCAAACCATGTACTTGACGGCTAAATTCTAAAAGAGAATGGTTGACACTGGCATAAGGCAAGCCAGCATCTTCTGCTGCTTTCTTCCAAGCTCGTGCGCCATCCCCAAACAAGATGCTGTTGCGATTCACAATGCTATTTACAAGATCCAACTCCGACACATCCAAGGAGCTCTCGGTCGGTGGCCTGGCTCCAGGAGAAAGAAGAATCACGGGCAGGGGCGTTACAAGAACTCGACCGTCTCGACCACCTCGCTCGATAAGGCCACCGACACGCACATACGCTATGAAGTATTGAGGCAGCGATTCTCCTGCATGCTTCCTTCGCCAATCGGCAATGTGACTTGACCACTCCGGACAATTGTTCTTGATGTACATCTTGCGAATGCTGGTGGCATCGCATTCGATCCGCCCCTGCAGTCGGAGGTGATCTTTTTGAGACCTGGCAGCTTGCGCTTCCATTTCTCTGAGGCACCGCATTGCTCTGATTCCCTGGTCTTCTTGCAAACCAGTGACGTGGCAGACTTCTTGTAATCTCAGTTGTCCAGGACCCCAGTAAGCCAGTATCAGTTGGTAAAAGGTCGCTGGAGTCAAGGATCTGAAACGGTCCCACTTGAGAGCAAAACGACCAGAGAAGGACAACACATTGTGTCGAGCGCGACAATCTCTGTTGTCACAATGCCAGTGCAACTGTTCTGTAGCCAAATCATTGCGACGAAAGGGTCCTTGCATCCCACCAGACATGCAGCTCGGGCATTCTTCAGGACACTTGAGAACGCCTAGAACATGTAGCTCCTCGGAAGCTGCAGACCCGTCCATGAGCGGCATGGCAGGCGCTGAGTTCTCACGACTGCATCTCCGAGAATGATCTTTCTTCGTCCTGACAGAAATAAAAAAAATTCTTTTCATCTTTACAGGCATCTGAGTGGAGCATCAAAAACCAACACTTCACAGTAAACAGTTTACAGGGGCCAAGAACAATGGTACAGAAGAAAGAATGATAAACCAAGGGGCCCAGAATACTGCTGTCGAACCACAGCCGCAGGTCTACGCAATGTAGCTGGTCTTTTGAGAACTGTCTGTCGGGTTCTTCTAGCAGCTTCAGAATTACCGCGTAGCACTCTAGATCCAGAAGACTTCGTTTTGGGTTGCGTCAAAGCCCGCAAACGACGCAACTCCGAAGCTCCCGGCAAGGTGCATGTGCGAAGATTGTGCTTTTTCGAACCGCAGAAACCACAGCTTTTGGCAGCATTGGGAGGCATGGGATTAGAAAAGTACGAAAAAAAAGGTTTCCTTCAGGATACCTACTTCATTGACACGGAAAATGGCTGCGGAAAGAAGAGCATCTGGTGCAATTCGGATATCTCACCTGCCTGGCACAAACGAACTGACACTTCCCTGAATCAAATCCGGCATGTGAGTGACCATAGCCATGTTTTTGCTAGTCAGCTTTTGCACATCAACAGAGGCACTATATATATACATTGCCATATCTTAGAGAATATATATAAGTATATTTGTAGATGGAAGAATCTATACATTGCATTTCATACATGTCCACACAAAGAGTATTATATGATATTATATGTGTGTTTGTCCGTCACTGGAACTGGACGACTGCACGTTCAAAGGGCAAAAGCATGGGCACTGTTCATGTTTACAAATGAACAATGACCGGCGCCGGTAGCTACTTTTGAGACCCAGGGCACGAAGTGAGGTGTCTTAGGGCTTCACTCCATTGCGAAGCAAAGAAGCAGGCAATGCATTGCGCTTCCTTTTCAGAAACTTCGGCACGGCTTCCCACAAATGGTCCGGCACCGCCACACTATGCCAACAGTTCCTCCTGCCATCTGTCTTCTTGTGGAACTGGGAGCAGAGCAAACGGATCTCACCGGCGTATGTCCCGGATGAGAAGAGATGGGGAGCCAAGGCGTACCTGCAGGAATGAATGGCACAGCGCCCCCATTTTGTTTCTGGAAGCGGATCCACATGTTGCTGTCTCTCTTCAAAAATTTGTGCTCGATCCAACATAGACATCTGTGCAGGATTCACAAATGGTCGAAACGAAGAAAAAGACGAAGAAGCAACTTCTGTATGAGAATGGCCCGCCGTGCGCCTTGGAGAAGCCGGCTCCGAATGCCGCACCAAGTGATCAATCTTGGCTCTTCTTGCAGGTGGAGAGTCGTCCTGGTTTGGTGGACTTAGCGACTCCGATTCATCGTCCCCGACAGGCTCATCGTCATCGGAGATCACTTCCACGGCAGAATCCACGGCAGAATTCAAAACCCCTACCACGGCCTCACTCACATCCATGTCAGACACTGCTTCCACATGAGCAGCAGGTCCCGATTCATCATCTATCGAGTCAGTGACAGAATCTAGCAGCTGCAAACACTGAAAAACCCACGGTTGGGAAAGTGCCGCATCCGGAAAGTTCGGCTTGCGAGGTCCAGCTAAACGAAGATTTAACCGGTGTCCTAGTGCCAGAATTTCACCAGGCAAAGGCTGCGTCCGTCTCACGTATCGGTGCCAAATATTCTTCAAAATCTGCAAGCTGCCAACCAGAGATTGAAAGTTGTAACAGAAATACATCACAGACATACATTCTTGCGCATACTGGTCTTGCCCAATGGCTGCCGAAGCCATCACTTCATGTAGATCTAAGAGCTCCTGAAGATCATATTGATGCCACACACGCACAAGCGGAGGCAGCGGGATGCCTATGGCTCTCACAAGTATGAGATACGTTAGGGATAAAAGTATGGGGTTCATTGCCCACAGCAAGGGCGATCCTGACAACAGCCACGGAGACAGCGCTGCATATTCCATAGGTGAATGGTGTTCTCCACTGAAACACAAAAAACATATTTGAAAAGAGTTAGGAATACCCCTATTTGGCGAAAGACGGATTTAAAAACCCAAAAACATACTGCACAAGACTAGTTTTCAGCTGATGCAAAAGCTTGTAACCATACTTACACTAACATTATCTTTCCATGTCCATGATGTAAGGAAAGTATACCATTTCCTACATGACGATTCATGGATAACTTGAAAAGAAATAAACATGACTTCACCAACATTGATGCTTTCTATTATCAAGGTTTCTCAAAATAAGAACCTTCCCAAAATAGTTGGTTTCGTACTAATAAATATATAAGATTAACTAGAGCTGCCCCTATTTTGAGAAACCACCAAATTAAGGAGACCCACATCTTCCAGATATACATACTGAAACACATCACATCCGCATCCCTTGCCGCCGAGGCATCTGAGAAGCGCACCTGGGGCGAGCAAAACCAAACAAGACTACACAACCTTATATCAGAACAAAGTCAGGTAAACAAGTAGCAGCAACGTAGCATCCACGTGGTGTGCAAGTGTACATGAACGTTAACATCCCACCCCCCCCCCCATCCCAGCCCCAAGTAGCAGCAACGTAGCATCCACGTGGTGTGCAAGTGTACATGAACGTTAACATCCCACCCCACCCCCCATCCCAGCCCCAAGTAGCAGCAACGTAGCATCCACGTGGTGTGCAAGTGTACATGAACGTTAACATCCCACCCCACCCCCCATCCCAGCCCCAAGTAGCAGCAACGTAGCATCCACGTGGTGTGCAAGTGTACATGAACGTTAACATCCCACCCCACCCCCCATCCCAGCCCCAAGTAGCAGCAACGTAGCATCCACGTGGTGTGCAAGTGTACATGAACGTTAACATCCCACCCCACCCCCCATCCCAGCCCCAAGTAGCAGCAACGTAGCATCCACGTGGTGTGCAAGTGTACATGAACGTTAACATCCCACCCCACCCCCCATCCCAGCCCCAAGTAGCAGCAACGTAGCATCCACGTGGTGTGCAAGTGTACATGAACGTTAACATCCCACCCCACCCCCATCCCAGCCCCAAGTAGCAGCAACGTAGCATCCACGTGGTGTGCAAGTGTACATGAACGTTAACATCCCACCCCACCCCCCATCCCAGCCCCAAGTAGCAGCAACGTAGCATCCACGTGGGGTGCAGTGTACATGAACGTTAACATCCCAACCCCACCCCCCATCCCAGCCCCCAGTAGCAGCAACGTAGCATCCACGTGGTGTGCAAGTGTACATGAACGTTAACATCCCACCCCCCATCCCAGCCCCAAGTAGCAGCAACGTAGCATCCACCCATGAACGTTAACATCCCATCCCAGCCCAAGTAGCAGCAACGTAGCATCCACGTGGTGTGCAAGTGTACATGAACGTTAACATCCCACCCCACCCCCCATCCCAGCCCCAAGTAGCAGCAACGTAGCATCCACGTGGTGTGCAAGTGTACATGAACGTTAACATCCCACCCCACCCCCCATCCCAGCCCCAAGTAGCAGCAACGTAGCATCCACGTGGTGTGCAAGTGTACATGAACGTTAACATCCCACCCCACCCCCCATCCCAGCCCCAAGTAGCAGCAACGTAGCATCCACGTGGTGTGCAAGTGTACATGAACGTTAACATCCCACCCCACTCCCCATCCCAGCCCCAAGTAGCAGCAACGTAGCATCCACGTGGTGTGCAAGTGTACATGAACGTTAACATCCCACCCCACCCCCCATCCCAGCCCCAAGTAGCAGCAACGTAGCATCCACGTGGTGTGCAAGTGTATGCGGATGAGGAATAAACGGCTCTGATATGTGAAAAAATAGTAAATTCCCCAGCGCCGCTAATGCCGGCGTGAGCAAAAACAACTTTAAAAAAAACATTGAGCACTTGGATAACACTTGGCCCACTGGCCTCGTGTTATTCCACTTTGCACTTGCTAAGTCCCTTATGTCACTTAGCAAGTGACTACTTTTCCATGATTAGTTAGTAAGTCCCTGACTCCTCGACTTGTCCCATTACAACTTCATATCATGGGTACCATTCCTGTTTTGTAAGATGCATCCGCATTTGGTTGGCTTAACCCTTCAATTTCATCTGTTTATCTAACTGTGCAACTGTTCAACATGGTGTCGAACCAACTGCCAAACCACTTAGGATGTTTATCCATCTCACAATGGCTCTCAGCCGCAGGTCTTGCAGTTCAACAGGCCGGTCTCGTGGTGTCCAGGTACCGTTGAGGACGATGATGCCATCTTTTGGTGTTCTGGAAGTGCCCCTTGACTCATGGCAGGTCCTGGGCAGTTGTGTGGTGAACTTGCTGCCTGTGGAATTAGGGGGGCAAACTGGGCAAACTGGGCAAACTACAGTTTCATGGATGTTTCATGGATGTTTCATGGATGTTTCATGCAAGTTTGGGGGATTTTGAAAGCTCTTTCCACAGGACGATCTGCCACTCATATCTCCGTTGGTCGGTGTTTTACCAAGGAACGAGCCGCAAACACCGTGAGTACAGAACCAAAGAGCGAAAGTCACAATGTTGTCATATCTTCATAATTCTTCATATATCTTATATACTGGTATTTATTTTCCCACATTGCGATCGAGCTGGTCATCGATTGGGATCCTGGGTCTTACCTGTTGAGCTTACCTGTCCTGACCCGCGTACAACTTGTGGAATCTCAGTTGTGTTGGTATACTGTCAAGGGTAGACCTGGACAAGAGCCGAAGAATCATGACCCATGCGCTTCTATGGAATTCTATAGATTGGCCTGTCATGTTTACAACTTCAAGAACAAGAACATCCAACGATAGAAGATGATAGAAGATTGTTGACATGGCTTCACCTACTATCACATTAGAGTTGTTGCTTGGTTCATCACGCATGTCATGACTGATGTCGTAGTCGCTCGTATTTGATATAATTACTTCGGTAGCTTCTAGTTGAACTACCTGGAACAACCAGGCAATGGCATGGCTGGGAAGATTTTACATTTTCACTTTCACACAGTTTTTCCGTATTTTCAGTGGGCCCAACAGAGATGAATTTGACTGATCCTTGTGTGTGAAACCGTTTTCCCTGATCTATCCTAGGATCGCCATGTGTGAACATCAGCATTACGCATTGTGTAGTTCCTAAAGCTAGTGCAATTCGTAAGGCATGCGCAAGTGTAAACATGGAACAACCGATGCACATGGTTTCCTTTACCGGGGCATATAGAGATTCTCGCCTGGCTGGACTTTCCCTTTGACGGTGGGCTGAGGTCAACGATCAAGTGATACCACGTTCGTGCCTCGCCGGAGCATGCCATGACCTCTGCAACTTCAGGTTGGTTCCCATCTTTGATCTTTGTTGATTCCCAAAAACGGCTGGAAACGAATCGGCTTATGTGAATCCAAACTTTGAGGAGTCTTTGAGGTTGAAGATAAATACAGGAAGTGTGTGGCAAGGGTTCCTTTATCGGTTCGGTTGGCACCACCCAGCCACAATACAGCAGCTGGATGTGAATGGATTGATAGCTGGGGCTCTCAGAGTTTGTAACATCTGTGATGGTTGTGTCTCTGCACATTTGATGTTTTTGAATTCCAGTTCGGATTTATTTGATCGAGATAGACTGACTTTTTGTCTACCCCATGAGGGTTGCATTTAAGGAAGTGCATCCACAAGGGAACATTATAGAAGAAGTGCAAGATTTGAGTGCATCCTTGGATGAAACAGAATTTCTACAATTCGCCGAATTCATGTGGCTGGTTGAAACTTCATGAAACTTCCAACTTTTTCAATGGTTTTTGACACCATATAGTAGAAAAGAGTAGAAATAAGATCGCATCTGATTGTCACTGTCACATTTGCTGAGTTTGTGGAGCTTTGCAACCACATCCTCCATCATTATCCCATGCTTCCCAAATCCTTTCAGCTCAAGATGTTTCCAGATTCCAGTGCCGAGGAAGATGAGCTTCTTGTCGACCAGGTTGACCATTGACATGGCGTGGTACTTGTCTTTCGTGGCCTTGGAGAGCTCAAGGCTGGAACTTGCACAAGTTGGGAGGTGCCATGTGGTGACTCAAGGGAACCAGGGCAAAATTCGTGAAGACAACACTGCTTGCCTCGATGGCCAATTTTTGGTCAGCCTCAAACTTATTATCAGCACTTCAGAGCTACGCTGCAGGGTTGTCGAGGTGACATTCCTCCTGGCTCACCTGAATAGTCACAGTCAAAGATGAAATGGAAGGTTTCCAGCGGTTTCCATGGCATTTCCCACTTAAAACCCACTAACTGAGTAGTCAGGACCTGCGGCGTTGCCATCGGCGTTGGGAGGCTCTGCGATCAGGACGGTGACAGGTCGTGTGTGGCCAATGTATGCACCGAAGTTTGACGGGCTCAGATGTCACAGGATGATTTCGCCTTCATGGGATTGATCAAGGGTGAATACAGGTGCAGCAACCGGAAGCCTGGGACAAGGGTTGTGGATGGTTGTAGGATATCTTTAGCTCTCGCACTTCCAAAAATCAGAAGCAGATGCAGATGTTCAATATTGGGTTATAAGTTACATTCGTTTAACAGCTGGTCATTTGATAAATGTATGTGTTGCTTTTTGGTTTGCTGATTTTGCTGTTGGTTCGGGATTTGGAAGCAGATTGGAAGCCTGTTCCTTGAGTGCTACAAGGTGCTACAAGGTGTCACCGGGGACCCTAAAAGCTCTGGGATCACGCAGTGATATTTTTGATATTTTGAAAACACGGGTGCAACCACCCAACAGCTTCACAATATTTCACAATAGTGTCACCAGGTGTTACCTATGGGAGGTGGCAAATCATGGCAGATTTGCCTTTAGGATCCTTTCTATTTCGAGGAGTCAGAGGACCCCCCCCCCGTATCCTCCAGAATCCTGCAACTTGGTCAAGGTCTGACCAGTTTCAAGATGTTTCACTTGGATCCTCCCACTTCGGTCGACTGAGGTCAACTGATGTCAATCCAATGAACCTTAATAAGATCTTAATATTAATATAATATTACTATTATTATATTATCATTATTATCATTATTATTATTGTTATATATTATTATATATTATTATTATTATTTATTATTATTATTATTATTCATAAGTGTCACCCACCATGGAATCCCGGAGATCCCACCATGCCCAGTTTCCAGCTGCTCGACACGGTTGGCCCCACGCTGGACTTTAATGTCATCAGTGGGGAAATCGCCGCTCGGCAGCAGAGATTGACAGTGCGACCGCTGCGACCACAATGGCTTTGGGGATCAAAGATGGATTCGTAATGTTTGGGCTTCACCAAATTGAGAAAAAAACGATTTCTTTCTTGCTGTAATATCATACTGCTAGTAATTGGTTGTGGCCATTGGACACAAATACTGAACATGATGAACATTTGTGGACTGGGACCTCCCTTTCAGTTCTGCAGGTTTCATTCCATCACATTTTGTTGGGGATGACTGATCCAAGTTTGGATGGGGAATGGAGGTGTTCCACTCCACCGGACTCCACCGGTCCGTAAGCGAATTAAATCCCGATCCCCATTTTGGTGGTGAAATTCCATGAAATTCCTTCATCCTGGCATATCCTGGCTTGGTTATCATGGATTCGTCATATATCAATTGATTATAGACTGATAATGATTAATATATATATATATTAATTTAATCAATATTGAGAATGCAATAAAACTACAATACATTATCAATGAATCACCCAGAGAAGCAGAAACCTCCTATCTCACGCTGAGAATTTTCCTACTCAAGGGGACTTCAGGATCTCCCGCTGGACGGCGCACTGGAACTGTACTGGAGCGAACCGATCAGGTTGATGCTGGTCACAGACTTGGGGGTAGAGTTTTTTGGATGGTGCTGTTTGGTGTGGATCAAGATCAAACCCCAAAATTGGATTGGTAGTGAGACGTGAAGAGCCCAACATCATACCTAGTCTGTTGATTTTTGGGATTGTCACCAAGGTGCCTGCCAGGGTGCCCACAGAATGGAATTCAGGAGGTAACCAGGAAACGCAATCCTATTTTTTTTTCATTGATGAATCCACAATATCACATCACTACGTATGTTGAAAGGAAGTTCCTTTTTGCAGCTGAATCCTGCATATGCAATTCCACAACTAAGGAATTCTCCAACACAATCGGCTCAGCTCATCAGATTGGAGGCGGGCAGAATGGTGAAAGTGGCATCTGAAGCAGTGGGGATAAGAACATGGCCGAATCAGTTCTGGAGGCCCAAATCTCATCAGTTTCGAAAGGTGAAGGGCAAAATCTGTCACTGGCATTTTGACGCTCGGTTCTTATTAACCCCCTGCTGAGCTGCGCTGGGTTCCATACTGTAAGTTGTGCGGCATATGGGTTGTAATTCAGGTTGCCAGGATCACCATTAGATCCCCGGACAAAAGTGATTATGATGCCAGGAAAAGTTTGCTTTGGTAGCGCCGTATGTATCATTGATCCCCAAGATGTTTTTATGCAATCAACAATACCCATGTTAGATGACATCCATTGGCTGACAAATCTACTTGTACAGTTTATCAAACGTTGCAGCAACACCAGGTTGATGACTTCGGCATCACCAGACAAATGGACAACTTCGCCATTCCACTGCAGGTGCGAGGCCGTGAGGTTGTGGGTACCCTATCTTTTAGTCAGGCTGAAGAGACGGTTGGTTATACAACGAATACCTTTGACATGTTGAGAAATGTTCCCCTATAATTCACGACATATACTTAGAGATTCTTGGTTCACCATGCTATGCAGCAGACTGACTGCTGGGGCGACGCAATTGCACCGGGGTGAGATTGGAGGAGGTGAACCATTTCGATAGGAAGTTTGATGTTTCATGGGATGGGCATGTCTGAGAATGGGGAATACTCAAAGTCTGCAAATGGTCAATCCGGTACGTGGAACTGGGGATGACTTGGGTATATCTAATTCTTAGACAAGCCCATATTTTGAGGATAGCTGGAAAAAAGGCATTCCAGACATGTTGAGTCCAGTCTAATTTCAAACAAGCCCAGTCACTTTAACTTAAATTATACACACGTTGTCAACTGGTAGCTCTGATTGGGGTTTTGAGTGTTGTCATCGCCACAGGCAAAATGGCACAGTTCGCTCATTCTGTTCGGTTATATATCCATTCCTTTGTCCAAAATCACAACCAATACACCAGGATTTATGGTAACAGCCACCGGTGACTAGTCAGGTTTGGTTGGCTTTAGCCTTGTTGCTCATGTCCCAAAGCTTGACATCCTGTCCTAGTTGTCCTGGGACAGGCACCCAACGTGGAGATTGTCAGCTCGTATCGCTTGAGGATTCATCTTGAGGGTCTTCTGAGGCAGCTGGGTGTGATAGCTGTGGGATCTGTGGGCACGGGTTGATGGTTTCCGGGCTGAATGAGAGCGAGCCTTGAAGTTGAGGCTTTGGGCGTCTTGGGAAGTCTTGCGGGATTGAAATGGATTGAATCTATTCAAATTTAGGCACTGTACATTACATTTTGGCTCGTTTGGCCACGACAGGACCCTGATGTTGAGGTGTAGCTTTGTGCAACAATGTTTCTTTTTCGCCAGAATGGCCGAAATGCTTCAAGGCACTGTCCTTTTATGCAACCAGCAAATTAGTTGTACCAACAATGAAGGAACTACGACGCAACTACGATAAGCTCCCAAGCTGTCAAACAATCATAATTCATTGTATTTGCTATGCAAAGAATTTGACATAGGGAGTCGCCATGTGATGGTCAGATGTAACTAAAGTGCACACGGTGGATCGACGACCCACCCAGCTAGTCCAGCCTGAACATCTATCAAGTCTTGTCACGTTTTTACCCCCCGAAAATGAGTAAGCTACTAAGACCAGAAAGCTGAACCGATCCCTAGTCAGCCGCATCAATAGCCTGCATGCTCATTGTGTGGTGGGGCATGTCAGACTCTATGCAGCACATTTGAAATCCACCCCCGGCCAACCACCGTAGAAGTGGAAGATGCACCGTTGCTGCCCATGGAAATGTGGAAGGTTTAATTTGTAGGTAAGCTTCGTGGAGTTTTGAAGGGGACACAATGTACAACTTTTGCAGGCAACATTTCTGGACTGTACACACATTGCACCGCCGAGTCCCTCCAAACTCTACACGGTCTCACTGCCAAGCGGCGCAGTGACGGACTGGGTGGTTGGGAAGTTTTGGGGGTAGATCGCTGTTTGATGAGGGAAGTCGATTTTTTTGTTGGCACATGATTGCATGATACATCAGGCAGCAACTTTTTGAGCCTTCGGGGGCCATTTCGGGGTAAAGGAAATAAAGGACATAGACGACATAGGACATGTCATAGTCTTGTTGAAATCTTCGGTGGACTTTTGAACCAAGGCCACATGGGTCTGCCCAAACACGCCTCGATGAAACGGTGGATACATCGGCCCTTAAATTGTGTGAAATACATTCAAACATCAAAATGGAAGAGTTGCGGGGGTTCGACGCTGAAGGATCTTAGAAGTCTTAGAAGCCAGCAAATGGTCTTGTGGCTTACAACATCTTACAATCATTTACATCCATTTACGAACCAACCCAACCATCTCTCACCACTCAGAACCGACAATCCAAATACAATGCCCAGGTAAAAAGCTCAGTGGGTTTTCCTTTCAAGTCACGGGTTAGTTCATAGACTTCCGATACTCAGGTTCGGAAATCTTGAAATTCCTGTTTGAACACATCGAAAATGGCAAACATCTAGATTTCCATGGCCACCCCTGATATCCTTCAAGTGACGACATGAAACGATTTGCCAAAAATAGTTCCCTTCTGCCGCAATAGAAATACTTATCCTTAGTGATTATATTTGCAAAAACACGACGGTGACCTAGATGAGAAACTGCCCATGGGATGCAGTATGCATTTTGAAGGGCATTTACTGGAGGATCTGGGGGCATGCTTGCATATCATTCTTCAAACAGTTGCAACGGAAAACCAGTATAAACATGTATAAACAGATATATTATAGTGTAGGATTGAAACTTAGAACTTCGTTTTGGAAGTTGTAAAACATCATTACGGAACATCCGCGTAGCCCGCGTAGTCCACGTAAAAGATAATTTATATTCAATAGATCTGGATACTAGAGTTAGAATGCCGCCAAGGCACCGATTGGATTTATCATATTTGATTACCTTTGTGTGGTTTGGAACCCTAAATGTTGTAAACTTAGAATGTGCATATATGTGCATGAACCCCAGGAAAAGAGGTTCATTTGATAATTTGCCTGTGGCAACCGGTTATTTCCATTTTTTTTCAAGACATGTGTTGACGTAGGTCGGTTTTGGACCCATTTGCTGGCCAGTTCATGCCAGCTCTCAGTTTAAGATGTTTAAGAGGTCTGGCAAACTTTACAAGGTTGTATTTTCAGCTGGGTCTTGGATTTGCTGATTCCCTTCTCAAAATGCTTTCATAAACTTTGCAAAATAATGGATTGTTAAGCTAGATCTTGGTTGGTCAGGTCGCTCTTCCTTACGGTGTGCGCTGTCGAAAAACATTCTACCTTTGTCTCGGTGCTTTGCTAGGGAAACTCAAAACTCAAAACAGCAACATTCATTGTCAGGTCTACCTCCAATAAAGTAAAGCAGCTTTCTGTGTTTTCCCAAACTTGATTGTGTGAACACCTGAGGCTTGGATTCCTGCTTGTATTCGCAAGGCATGGCTAGGTTTGTCCTTCAATTCTTTCCAAGCTTGCGACGTAACTGGCATTTGAAGTTTTGATGGCAAAAGGTTTGTTCAGTACAGAAAGCGTTCTGAAAGCATTCTAAGTTTAGCTCTCGCCCCTCCCTTTTGGAAGGATAACTTTGAGAAACGAATCTGTTCAGCTGGGTTTGGGGTTCCTTCTTTTTACTGGCGTTGCGGCTCCTTTCAAAGTTCCTTTCAAGTTTGCTTTAAATTTCCGTTCCAAAGCTTACAAACGTTTTGTTCGCACCTGAATCTCCGGAAACAAGCTTGAAGACCACTTTCTTCCTACAGACGGTAGTCTTTTGAAACCGCTTTCTTGCACGAACCTTTGCATGGATTGTTGGTGGTGCGGCAAAGTATCCTTTGGCACATCTGCTGCGTAAGCATTCTAAGTGTAGCTCTAGCCCATCCCTTTTGTGGGCAGCACCATCCAAAACAAAGTGGGCAAATGTAACATGTCTTGATGCAGTGATATAAAGTTTTTGCATTGTCCCGAGCAACATGGTAAGTTGTTTCTTGTCGCAAGGTAGTGTGGAAAAAAAAGGTGGCAAGTGCTATGCAAAGCTTTCAGAAACGAATCTGTTCAGCCAGGTTTTCTCTTTAAGCTTTTACTGGCTTTGTGGTTCCGTTCAATTTGTTCATGTCTTTTGTTGCCTATTTTTTTAAAACAATAGACCATGTAGGGATTATACGCAAAGCGGACGTGCAAACCACACAAGCAATCTAGGGAAAAGGGAGTATCCGTGTTGGGTTGGGGATGTGGATGGAGCTGCCACAGTGTTATTCTTTGTTCTGATACCACCCGACCAGACATCAGAGTATACTTATATAAATACATGTTTATATTATCTTATTTTTTTCGCAGAATCAGAAATGGAGGTTTACATATATATATATGTTTTGAACGCTTTGGCATGTAAACTTAGCATGCCTGTCGCATCATGTTGCCACCCGATCGAAGCTTACCCCCAAAACAAAAAGTCTTGTCGAGAAAGTGTGTTTTTCGTGTATATATATATACATGTTTTTAACACGGTTTTCATTAAACTTAGAATGAGGCATTCTAAGATGTTCATGCCCCCCCTTTCTAACTTCTGTTTGGGAACATGTAACCCCTTCTAATTTTTAATCCTCTACTATAAACAGCAATAAAACACCTCACCCCCTCATTGACTAGCACTCTGTTTTAATGGGACAGCTTTAGTGAGGACAGATCATGTACTTTCGAGGTGTGTAACTAACCTGACCTGACCTTAAACTTCCCGCATTCCGACCCATTTGAATGGTCTTCCTAGGGATATGGTTCCCCAGAGGGTCATGCTTAAAGTCGATCAAATCCGCGGAGAATGGCTCAGTTTCTGTTGCTTGAATCCATTCTTTAGTTGATAAAGGCCCTCTCTTGTTGATTATATACATTTATATACTATAGTATAGATTGTATGATGTCTGACATACATATATGTATGTACAATAACCATTTGTGGGGTTGCTCAAGTCCCCATGTAACCTCCTGAATTTTTGGCTCTTGGCCCCGATCGTGGCCACTGGAAAATTGAACTCGGCAGGACAGCGCCGGGAACCCAGGCAGTGCACTGCCCTCGGGTCGGATCTACATCCGTACCGGTGCAGCGGTCGGTGGGTCGACGAGCGTTTCCACCAGCAGCAACGCCGCGCCTTGACAGCTGGCCATGTTTTGACAACATCCATTACTTGGCCAGGTAATGAAGTATTGCTTTGAAGTTTTCGTTGGGGATTGCCTTTGGGTTGTTGCAACATGGTTCAAACTTCTGGGCATTAGGGCACTTACTTCCATAGCGGATGGCTTTCATTGGTGACTAACATCTTTTTTTCCCTTTTTGCAAGCTGCAAAACATGTTGGGATTCAAGAATACCCTAGATGTTCAGCTTGGACCCCTCAACTGAAACAGGAACTTCCTAAGCATTGGCCCCAAGGGGATATTGGTGCAGCTGGGATGCTGAGGTGGGAGTGGTGATCGTGATCGTCTGTGTGGCCGTGTTTTGCATCTTGGCGGCTGGAATTGGCTTGGTGAGGCTCTGGCGTCTGCACGCGGATGCAGCGGTCAACTTCCTGAATTTGAATAAGCAGAAGGGAAGGACCAAGGCCGGACGAAGAATTCGAGGAGCCATACTATCCTTCAGTTCTGCCAGAGCTAGGTATTGTAAGGAAAAACATGAAAACACAATTGTAATAATGTGCTGAAGAAGATGAGACGAAATTCAGGGAGACATTTTGATGGGCACGGTGGGTCGTGAGGATTTTGTCAGCACAGTATTAGTCATGTGTGCAAAAAGGCTACCCAGGGCGCTTGCAAGGCATTTTGCCGAGACCAGCGCACAGCTCATTGATTGCTGGGAATCTCCAGTGATTCCAGTGGCTTATTTCGCTTTCTGCGGCAACATCACCAAACACGACAATGGTATATATATATATACTGTATGATATTATACCGTATACCCCTTCTGCTGCCTCCGAAATAGATAATCTAATCGGGGTCATT